AGAAATGCATTGGAAATCTTTTTACTATAAGAATGCATTGCAAATCTTTTTACTACAGAAACGCATTGGAAATCTTTTTTTAATATAGAAATGCTTTGGAAAGGATTTTACTACAGAAATGCATTGGAAATCTTTTTACTATAAGAATGCATTGCAAATCTTTTTACTACAGAAGTGCATTGGAAATCTTTTTTAATATAGAAATGCTTTGGAAAGGATTTTACTACAGAAATGCGTTGGAAAACTTTTCACTATAGGAATGCATATGAAATCATTATATTATTGTACGCTCCGGCCTTCTTCGGGTGATATACGTTGGAATTTTGAACCAAACACTTTATTTCGTTCCCTCTGGGGTAGATTGTTCCCGTTCCACATGCCATGCCTTTTCTGGATATCTCAGTTTCAGTTATTTCCCTTTAGTAACACAACTCTCCAAGTTTTTGTTAACCTCTGCTGTGGCCAGGTATTGAACTCCCAACTCCTTGAGTCAAGTCACTGGACTACTTCAACCAATACTTTTATCCTTGGGAATGTGAACAACAGTCCGAACAATATAGACAATGTAAATACTTACAATACCTCATCTCAGAAATATAGACAGATTCCTGATGAAGGCCGGATGGTACAACGGTTGAAACGTCGTGAATATGGCAACGAAGGTGAGGACAACACTCCGAACAATGTAAATTGTGTAAATACTTCAATACCTCATCTCAGAAATATAGACAGATCCTGAAGAAGGCCGGAGAGTACAACGGTCGAAACGTCGTGAATATGTCAACGAAGATGAGGACAATACTATATGTTATATATTTACTAGTTTATATATGCCGTTAAAAAATGACAGCCATATTTAATTAATTTGGAAATTGCACCAATTAAACTTTTTTCATGGGTCATCTAGGGTTTTTTAATCTATACAATGAATTCTATTTACGTTATTCTCATGTTCTTTGTCATATTCACGATGTTTCGGCCGTTGTACGCTCCGGCCTTCTTCAGGCGATATACGTTGGAATTTCGACTCAAACACTTTATTTAACCCACTAGTTGTAGATTATTCTAGTTCCACGTGCTAAATTCCAACGTATATTACCTGAAGAAGGCCGGAGTGTACAATGGCCGAAACGTCGGGAATATGACAGTAAAGATGAGGACAACAGTAGGAACGGTGTAAATAGTGTAAATAGTTATAATACTTCATCTCAGAAATATAGACTATTTATTAATTTTATTGTTGCATGCGGGAAGGTATTCTGCTTTTGACATCATTAAAATGAAAAATGTTTAGAGTCAGCTAAACATGAAAAGTTTCCCTATTACTATTAAAATCTCTGATTGGTTTCCGCCCTAAAGTATCCATGCAATATCCTTTGTGTTTCATTTTGGGTAATGAAAAAGAAATAACAGTAATTTTGGGCTATATATATATATATATATATATATATATATATATATATAACCAAACTTTGACTGCAAATATATATCTGTAAGCAATTTTGTAGTCAAATTTTGGTTATTTATATATATATATATATATAACCAAACTTTGACTGCAAATATATATCTGTAAGCAATTTTGTAGTCAAATTTTGGTTATTTATATATATATATATATATTACCAAACTTTGACTGCAAATATATATCTGTAAGCAATTTTGTAGTCAAATTTTGGTTATATATATATATATATATATATATATATATATATATATATATATATATATATATATATATAAAATATTTTTAGATTAATTATGCAGTAAACATAAACAAATTTGACTGCAAAATTGCTTATATATATATATATATAGATAGATAGATAGATAATCAATTTTTACTCATATATATTTGCTTATATATATATATATATATATATATATATATATATATATATATATATATATAAAACAATTTTGCAGTTAAATTTGGTTATGTTTTCTACATAAGTAATCTAAAAATATTTACTTACACAATTTGCATTATTGTCTCTTGTCAGAATGTTGCTTTTGAAATCATTAAAAGTAAAACTAACCTTGCAATATACATGTTTTTTGCTACACACACACACACACACACACACACACACACACACACATATATATATATATATATATATATATATATATATATATATATATATATATATATTATTATTATTATTATTAGACATATATACCACTGTAGTTTTAATCCTGCGGAATTGGAAGTCAGATCAGCCAATGGCAACAATCAATTGGGGAACACTATGCCGTCAGCCCATTGAAATATTTGAAACTAATGAAACTACGCCAGGAATTTCGCCGGCAACAACGTCATGATCACCTGGTTCGTGGGCCACCGCCATCAGGTCTCGGCATTCAGTGTCCAATTTGTGGACGACAATGTGCGTCTTAGTTTGGTCTTCACAGACATCAACCTCAACCTAATGTCACTAACCAGTGATTTCTTCAATGTCCATTTTTGCTAGAGCAGATGTTGTTGTTGTCATCCACAGACTTCATTACATATATATATATATATATATATATATATATATATATATATATCTTCCTCTTTGATGATCATATTTAAATTATTTTGCAACTGCCTTGATTATATCTTTCCGCATAAGTAGCCCAGGATTTTAGCCAAACAATCAACTCTGTTGTCAAGTTTAAGATAGAACTCTTTTTTAAATCAGTAAAAGTAAAAACATCCAATGATTGGTTGGTTGGTTTTCAAGTAATAGAAGTATGATATATGTTATTCTGCTTTCACAGTTGAATACATGGTAGGTGATTTTGTGCATATACATGTTTGTGCAGACATAATTTCTAGAGGCTGTGATATGTGCATGTTACGTTTTAATTTTGTTGAAGTTATATTTTGGATTACATTTAATTTCTTTAAGAAATTCTAGGATATTATATGGATTAATGTCATGAAAGTTTTTCATGTTGCTTGTTTAGTTAGTCAACTTTGTTTGGTGGCATATCAACCTCTATTGGTTATTTAATACCGAAATCTAAATATTTTGAATACAATTTTATGGCTTCAACTAAATATATTTTGAACTCAATTGTATGCCTTCACCTACATATAAATTGACTAATATAGTATCTTTGTCTTTTCTCATTGAATATTGCTCATACAAGCTGGTAGCAAGTTCTTTGTCATCAAGGGAAAAAATTGTTGTATTGTTATGATCATTAATGCTATATATATATATGTATATATATATATATATATATGAAGAAAAGTATACCGAAAAAACAAACAAAAATCTTAATATGCGATTATGCTGTTTTAATGTTTAATGTCAACGTCGGACGTTTCGGTCTAATAGACCATCTTCAGGACATATTCATAAAACATAATTAACATAGGCTATATACAATTCAATTTTATGTTAATTATGTTCTATGAATATGTCCTGAAGATGGTCTATTAGATCGAAACGTCCGACGTTGAGATTAAACATTAAAACAGCATAATTGCATATTAGGATTTTTGTTTGTTTTTTCAGTATATTTTTCTTCATACTGTCGGATCTATATCCATATATTTGCTTATATATATATATATATATATATATATATATATATATATATATATTGCTATATTATTATTATATATATATATATATATATATATATATATATATATATATATATATATATATTGTGCTATATTATCCTTATATATATATATATATATATATAAATGAGAGTACATCTGTTAATATCTGTATTTTATCTACTTCACTCTGTTAATATTTATCGCTCGATCAATCTAAGTTTGTTTCTATCTATTTATCTATCTAGCTTTCTAGCGATCTCAGTCTGTAAATCTGTTAATATCTATCTATCTATCTATCTATCTCAGTCTGTTAATAGCTATTTACTGCAGTCTGTTAGTATCTATCTATCTATCTACCTATCTTTTTTTCTATCTATCTATCTATCTATCTATCTATCTATCTATCTATCTATCTTAGTCTATTAATGGCTATTTACTGCAGTCTGTTAATATCTATGTATCTGCGTCTGTTAATATCAATCTATTATCTATTTGTCTGAGTTTGTTAATTTCTGCCTATCTAACCATCTATCTACCTAGGCGTTTATATTGAACTTTCTCGGTTTGTTCAGCTCTCTCTATTTGTCTACTTGAAGAGCCAGCTATAGAAATTTAATTCTCCTACCAAAGGAAAATTAAGAATATCTGATTGGCTACCTGATCCACAAAAAGAAATTCCAGATGTTCTATTTATAAAACCTTAATCAGCTTAGATTTTTTTTTTTATTTAGAAATAACCTTTTTTAAATTACCTGGTTAAAGGAAACCGTTTTAATTTTTTTTTTTTTTTTTTTGTTCCGGTGAGAACTTGTAAAAACATTAATCTTCTCAACAAAGTACCGATTTGTAAAAGATTTTCATCTTAGCACAAGAAAGGTAATATCATGGAAAGTGCGTTTTGTAAACTTTAAAAATTCCAATAAATTTTGGTTTTAATAAAATAATGGATTGAGGGCAAACATTTATACGAACATCCGGGTATCGTAAGGACAAGAAAAGTGAGATCGACATGCGGAGTTCAAATCCAGAATAGTACACTTTGTGTTAATGCCCTCAAAAAAGGTACTTTCTTTCATTGGGTTAAATACGTAGGTAAATTGGGCTCCCTTGTAAATTCGGGAGAAGGAAAACTTGGAATTTAAACACATTTACTGTCCTAAGGCATTGTTCGTGAAAGTTTTTACTCCGAGACACTTAGAAAATCTTTCGGGGGTATCGTAGTACACTGTTTACCGTTTCTTTGATATCAATTCGTCAGTGTGGGGCTGATCCTATAAGGAAGGGGTTGGTTTAAGAGGAAAACAATTAAAGACAAGACGTTGTGGAGAGCTATGATCGTCCAAGTCGTGAAAGGAAATTGCATATAAAATACAAATAACAAAATTTGAATGCTCATATACTTCTAAAATCTGCGATCTCCAAAAGCAATCAGTGTTCAAAGTGAGGGAA